TTTGGTCGATGTTAGGCACATATAAAACATCAGAGATATACTTCAAACCTGTCAAGCTTTCAATAGCAATGGTCCCTTTCCCTTTAACTGAGATGAAATAACCCTTTCCAATTTTTACTTTGAAAATGGTGGTTTTGTCAAGCTCTTTAAACAACTTTTCGTCATGGGTCATGTGATTTGTGCAGCCACTATCTATTAACCATGAGTCACTAGAACAGTTGATTGTAGTGAAACATGTTGCAACAAAGAGTTGCTCATCTTCTTGCTCCTCCAAGGTGACATTTGCCTCTTTTGATTTAGACTTGCAGACTCGCTCTACATGTCCCAAATCACCACATTCTCTACACTTGATATTTGGCCTCTACCAACATCTTTCTTTTGGATGATTTGTCTTTTTGCAATGTGGACAGGGGGGAAAGTTCTCACCTTGCTGTTCGTTGAAACCTTCTAGCTTTTTGTTCTTCCATTTGTTGTTGTTTTTGCCACTTTTTGAATTTTGTGTTTTTACATGAAAAGCACCTTGTACCGTTTCATCTTGTCTCATCATTCTTCTTTGCTCCTGGGCCTGTAAAGCATTTACCAATTCTCCCAAGGTGATGGTTGACATGTCTTTTGACTCCAATGCTAATATCTTTGATTCATATTTTTCTGGTACAGTAACCAGAATTTTTTGAACTATTTTTTCATCAGGAAAGTCTTTCCCGAGAAGCTGCACTTTATTTGCTATACTCATCAGTCGATCAACATAACTTTTAATTGTTTCTATCTCCTTCATGCTCTGCATCTCGAATTCTCTAGCCAAGTTAAGCACTTGCATGCTTTTGGTTCTTTCACAACCAGAATATTGTTTCTTGAGATAATCCCAAATCTCTTTGACAGATTTGAAATTCATAATTCTTGTAAAAATGATTTTTGACACAGCAGAAAAAAGGAAATTTTTTGCCTTTGCCTTTTTTGTCTTTCTCTCCTTGTGGTACTTCATTTGAGCCACAGTTAGATTTTCAGGCAATATAGGAACGTCATTTTCATGATTTTAATCTGTCAATAAACGGACATTTTGATGATTTTTATTGTTATTTGGTCTCAAATCCATTAACAATGGTCATGTTGAATCATCCACTGTATTAGTGCTTGAGAAAATCATAAAACTACGAAAGAATTATTGCAACATTCCAAATATGAGCACAACTAAAATTGTCAAGTCCAAGCATATTATCATTACTTATATGAAGCCAGCACATTAGTCCAAAAATGAGGGAAAATGTTCACACCCTATTATGTCATTTATATATTTATTTACTTCCCATTAAATCGGCAAATCATGTTATATATGTGGTCAATAATAGATGCATTATTTATTCATACTCCTTGGTTACACTGATATGGGCCCAAAGAAGCCCATTATTACTTAGGTGTATTTGAGAAGGGTCAAAAGGTACATTGTACTTGATCATACACAAGGAGGGAGAAAGGAGCAACAAATTTCGTAGCAGTTGTGCGCGGAAATGGGGGATGATTGGTAAAACACGGTGATAATAGAATAGTAGTACAAGTGGAGATGGGCGGGGAAGAGGAAGGCAGAGTAGACCTCTTGTAATGGCTAAGGAGAGTTTCTTTCATTGTTTCCTTTCTCATTTATACTCTAACCTGCACTATATCTCAGGATTTGGACCTTCATTGCCCTGATTTCAGTCTTTACCTGTTATCTAGAAGTGCTTATAGTATTGTGTTGGTGGGCATGTGTATCCATAAAAAAGTAATAAAAGGGTTCTAATAAGTTCTCAAAATATGGTCTCACATGTATTGTTTCTAAATATTAAAAAAATTTTAGTTTAATTATTTGAACTTAAAGGATGTAAAATTAAATTAAAACAAATATTTAAATATGAAAGTAATTAAAATAAAATTAAAAATAGCGCAACCTTTGACAATAAACTAATAAAAAACTTAGGGCGTATGGTTTCCTTATATTATTAATCAGTCATGTTAAATCTATTAACACCAATAGTCATGCAATAATAATAATCTTTTCTTCAAACTATTAACAACCAATAATCATATTATTTCTTTGCCGTTATAGGACCAATGGATCAAACTTATGGCATATGCTTACCTTTATACTTCTCAATATTTACTTTTAGATTAATTCTAATTCTAATTTCCTTATATTATTAACCAATCATATTAAATCTATTAATAACCAATAGTTATGCAATATTAATAATTTTTTCTTCAAACTATTACATTCCATGGTTATCTAAGGTAAAAGGAAGAAAAAAATATAAAGAGCTTATGAGCTGTTAATTTAATAACGATTGAAAGAGAAGAACTAAGTTTGATCCACCTAATCCTTTGTTTCATTTTACTCTATATATCAATTAACTATTTGTGGTATAGTCGCCTATAATATAATTAATTATGATATGTCTAAGAGTTATCAATTCTGAACATACAAATATAGTACAATAGGATGAATACCAATCAAGAAAGAAAACATAAAATTATTATTAATCATAGAGATCCCATAATGTCATGCAAAAGATTCACCATAGTCCTACCTATGAATTTACCTAAACATAATATTAAAGAAAACCAACATAACAATAAACCAATTCATAATAATTCAAAAAGTAAATGCAAATCAATCAAGAAAGAAAACATAAAATTATTATTAATCATAGAGATCCCATAATGTCATGCAAAAGATTCACCATAGTCCTACCTATGAATTTACCTAAACATAATATTAAAGAAAACTAACATAACAATAAACCAATTCATAATAATTCAAAAAATAAATGCAAATTAGAGGAGTCTCTAGTGGAGAAGAGATAAAGAGAGTTCATGATTCTAAGACGAGTTCTAATCGTAGTCAGCGACTGACTAACACTAAGATTAAAGATGTAAAAATGTGAGAGATGAGTAAAAGATACTGAAAAAAAGATGCAAAGTATGAGAGATATCTAAATTACTGCCTATGAGATTTCTTTAACAGGGTTTCAAAACTCTAATATTTCTCCATGGTTAAACTTCTCGTAGGTAGGCACAACTATGCATGTGAATCTAATTGCTAGAGTATGGGCATACTGGCTACGACAAAGTTGTATTTTCCATCCAATTTAAGCCCAAAATACATCTAAAAATTCAATTTTATTTTTTAATGTTAAACTGCATAATTAATATATAAATTAATATAAAACTGAAATAAATATATAAACTATAAAATCATGTAAAAATAATGACTTATCATATTGCGAGTTATTTTGTATAAACCAATACTTATTTGAATTATAATAGCCTATTTTGACAGCATATATTCATACACACATAAACACAAGCTTTTACTTCTCATAGTTCCGTTCTATTCTTTTAGAATCATTAACTTTACCTACTCAATGTATCATAGTTTGCCATAAAGACTAAAATCGTAATCAAATTCTTACTAAATTCCAATCTGCAAAATTCTTAAACAGCACATGGTTTCTTCTCAAAATTTAGCAACCATACATGCTCTATGCGGCAATTTTAAATCTAAATTTGTTCAAGAAAATTGCTAGTTCTGCCACTAAAATAAGAACAGAAGAATTTTTCTCAGTTTTTCCACAGATAAATATTACCATACTTGAAATGAATTTTATCAAGGAAAACAAGTTATGTAGAAAATGAATTTAAACATCCATGGTTTGGCAACATAATTTAACAGAGAGAACGGTCGGATGATTAACTCGGAAATTCACTTGCAAATACATAATACTTCCATAAATTTTTAAGGGATGCAATGAATTACAGCAGGCCAACATTATTGGTCGAAGGTGGTAAACTTTAAATTCATCATGTTGATCACCATTTGAGATTAGAAATTAAAATTCAGTAATCTATTGTCGGAGTAGCAAGATTAAGTGGAAAAGTACCACATTGGGTACAAATGGTCAAAATGAGAAGCATATTAGTGGCAAGGACCCATATACCTACTGCCTTAAGGTTTTGGGTTGGATATGTAACGCAGAATTTGCATGCACAAGAGAATGGATGAATACCGCAAAACTCACCCAGAACCAAGACTCCAACATGGAGCTTTCTCTCAAGCCATTTGCTAACTGTGGCTTAACTAACTCAACTACACTAACACACTGTTTATTATGTTCTTACAATTACAGCATAACAATGTGATATCCAGTTCATTTGTATAGCTTGCTTGTGGCCCGTGGTATTTCATAACACCTATAATAATATGCTAAACCTCAATTCCATCAATGCAACATTACTTCAGTGGCCTTGATTAAAAAAAATGCAGTCTACATACCATGAAGATTAATCTTTAGTATAAGGAGAAGTTTTTCTTCACTGGTCTCATCAAAGAATTCCACAACAGCAAGATTTCAGGAACTCTGGCTGGTAATTTTAATAGGGCTGAACCTGGTGGCTAAGGGAAGGGTCCAAACCAAATCTTAGGATTGTAGACTCGGTAGTGTTACATAAAATCGATGGGTTTGCAGGCTTAAAGATGCAGTCTATATACCATGAAGATTAATCTTTAGTATAAGGAGAAGTTTTTCTTCATTGGTCTCATCAAAGAATTCCACAACAGCACAAGATTTCAGGAACTCTGGCTGGTAATTTTAATAGGGCTGAATCTGGTGGCTAAGGGAAGGGTCCAAACCAAATCTTGGGATTGTAGACTCAGTAGTGTTACATAAAATCGATGGGTTTGCAGGCTTAAAGTGTCTACGCCATTTGGAACACCTAATTGTTAATTCTAACAATACCAAATAACTTCCAAAATAATAGCTTAAATCTTCTTAATTTAGAATACACACATAAATCAAAATTGTCTAGGGAATAGACCTAAAATTTGAAAATTTCTCCTCAGATCTCAGGTTCCATTTTATTTGATAACACCATTTCATAATTTTTTTATTGTAATTTAATTAGAATTTAAGCTTACTCGTCAGAATATTGAGGATGTTACAAAAGTTCACATATTTTATATTTTTGCACAGGAATGATGCTGAACTTATTGAAGAAATCATCAAATGTGTGTTGAAGACAATGAATGATTTGCACCAAGTAAACTCAAAAGTATATGTTGGAAGTGACTCAAAAGTACTTGTTGGGATTGACAAAAGAATTGCACATCTGATATTATTATTAGACCTAGAGTCGGAAGGTGTTCGTCTTATTGGAATATGGGGTATGGGAGGTATCGGTAAGACAACCATTGCCAAAGAAGCATTTAAAAGATTGCATGCCAAATATCATGCCAGTTGTTATTTGGAAGAAGTAAGTAAAAAGGTAGAAAGAAATGAAAAAGAATCTTTGAAGCAAGAACTGTATTCTACACTATTGGAAGAGGATCTGAAAATTGAAAAAACAAATGAATTGCCCAAATATGCTAAGATAAGGCTTGGTCGTATGAAGGTTCTTATTATTCTTGATGATGTGAGACAGGTAGAACATCTACAAGAATTAGTTGGGGATCACAAATGGTTTGGATCTGGAAGTAGAATTATTGTAACAACTAGAGATAGGCATGTGCTTACTAATGAAGCTGATGATATATATGAGGTAGGGGAACTGGACTTCGATGAAGCACATAGGCTTTTCAATTTGAATGCCTTTAAAGAAAATCATATTAAAATGGAGTACAACGAGGTATCTAAGAGGATGGTAAATTATGCCAAAGGCATTCCATTAGTTCTTGAAGTTTTGGGTGGTCTTGTTCGTGGAAAAGATATAGATGTATGGAAAAGTAAACTAAGCAAACTTGAAAAGATTCTAGATAAAAAACTTCTCAATTTATTGAGACTGAGTTATGATGATTTAGATCGTGAAGAGCAAAAAAATTTTTTAGATCTTGGATGTTTCTTTAGTGAATTGAATTTGAAAGTGGGCCACATTAAATATTTATTGAAAGATTATGAAAGTGATGATTCAGTGCTTGATGGGCTAGAAAGGCTGAAAGATAAAGCTCTTATAACTATTTCTGAAGATAAAGTTATATCTGTGCATGATATTATTAGAGAAATGGCTTGGGAGATTGTTCGCCAAGAATCTATTGAAGAGCCTGAAAATCGCAGTAGATTATGGGATCCAAAAGACATTCGTAAAGTATTGGAAAAGGACAAGGTAAAAGCCAAAATTACAAACACTATTTGTTTGATAATATTTGAATCTTTTGCTAGAAATGATTAATGCTGTTTAAATTTTTCTTCTACATTGATATCAGGGGAGTAAATCCATTAGAGGGATAACTGTACATATGTCTGCAATTAAGAAGCTGAATTTAAGCCCTGACGTGTTTGCTAAGATGAGCAATCTGAAATTTCTTGATTTTCATAGTGAAGACTATTCTGACCGAGTGGATCTTCCTCAAGGGCTTCAACCATTCCCTACTGAATTAAGATATCTTCGTTGGATGACTTACCCTTTGAAATTTTTGCCAGAGAAATTTTCTGCAGAAAACCTTGTTCTATTTGACTTGTCATATAGTAGAGTGGAAAAACTTTGGCTTGGAGTGCAGGTAAATGTGTCTTTCAGAATTTTTCTCTTTAATCAAGGAATACAAAGTTAACATCCTTGGCACATACATTATGTCTTCAATTGTTTTATTATGCTACAGGATCTAGTGAATTTAAAAGATGTTAAACTCCATGCTTCAATATTCCTAAAGGAGTTGCCTGACTTTTCGAAAGCCACAAATCTTGAAGTACTAGATCTTCGTGATTGTGGTTGGTTGACTAGTGTGCATCCATCTATCTTCACTCTTGAAAAGCTTGAGAAATTGTATCTAAGTGGGTGCACTTCCCTTACCAAACTTACAATCCACACACATTTAAGTTCCCTTCAATACCTCACCCTTCGTGGTTGCCATATGCTAAAGGAATTCTCTGTGACATCAGAGAATATGATAGAATTAGATTTAGGCTTCACAGCTATCAATGCATTGCCTTCATCTATTGGACATCAAAGCAAGCTCGAAATTCTACGTTTAGCAGAAACATGTATTGAAAGCTTGCCTGCAACCATCAAGAATCTTACAAGGCTGCAATATTTGGACATAATGTATTGCAAAGACCTCAGGGCTCTACCTGAGCTTCCTTCATCCATTGAAAAACTTTATGCCAGTCACTGCTCATCACTGAAGACCATTTTGTTCCCTTTAACATTGGCTGCACAACTCAAGGAAAATAGGAAAATAGTTGAGTTTTGGAATTGCTTGAAACTGGATAAACATTCACGCAAGGCTATTGGGTTGAATGCACAAATCAACATGATGAAATTTGCACATCAAAGACATTTATCTGCGCTAGAGGGCAATCATGTTGAAGATTACGAGGACTATGATGCTAAAGTCAAGTATGTGTATCCAGGAAGCAGTGTTCCAGAGTGGTTGGAATACAGGACAACAAAGGATTACGTAGCTATTAATATTTCTTCTGCTTCACATTCCCCTTTATTGGGTTTCATTTTCTGCTTCATTATTCCCAAGGATACATCACGAGCTTTTAGAGTAAAATTAATGATCACTATCAGTGATGATGAGAGAGGAGAAGATGAAGGGTTCAATATTAAATTCGATGTGTTTAGGCCATTGGTTGGAGTTGCATCGGATCATGTGTTTATAGCGTACGACGAACGATGTTCTCGTTACCTAAATAGCAGAGCCCAAAATCAGACAAGGTTTAAAATTTTGGTTAAAGCGGTCTTACCATACAAAGAAACAAAAAAGAGACTGGGATCATATGATGTGTTGGTTGTGTTAAAAGGGTTTGGTGTCAGCCCAATAAACGCCTCAGCATATTTCAAGTTCATTCAACAAATGGAATTTCCTGTTTATACACTGAATACCTTACTTTCATTCAACAAATGGAGCTGGGCAGCAGTGATCGCAACCACCCTATGTATTCCCTTTCTATGGTTTAAGATAAAGGATTTGATTAAAAAGCTCCAGTGACATTATTTTTAAAGTGAAGAAACTACATAGTACAGACATATTTATCATTTGTATAATTTTAGTGAGTGAAGATTTAAAATTAGAACTTTAAAATTAAATCAAGGTTAAATGTACACTTAATTTTTCACTTTAAGAACAAGGTCACTTTAGAAGATCCTTGTTCAGAGTTTGATGCAGAGAAAGTCTATAATTTGATGTAAGCACACCACTTGGGTTAACATTCAAGTTATAGACATTCCTATAATTAGAAGTTAAATTGATGTTCATGATCACTTAAAGCTAATAGTATGCAGAGTTTTTTAAGTTTTGAATCTTAGCATATTTAAAAGGCTATTTATTTTTGTTGGTCTTTTCAAGAAACACATATAGTGGCTTCATTTTTTTTATTAGACTTCATTCTTTTGCAAATAATGAATAGATTAAAATTCCTTGTATTTTTCTATTTTAGATTGTGTTTAAATTGGTGGACTAGGATGAAACAGAAGGAACAAAAATGGAATAAGATTTTTCTTGTTGTTTGGATTGTCTAAAATAGAAAAGAATGGAGTGAAATTTGATGGAATCCATTCCATCACTTAACTTTGTTTTTCTTCCTCTATAATTTGGTTAAAATAAAATGGAACTTAGTATTTCTTCTTTTTTTTTTTTTTCACTTTTATATCCTCCTCTTCACATCATCATGTGCAACCCTGTTCACATGAGATCTCTCTCATGTCACTGATCTTGGTCAATATCATTCTGCCACTCTGGATCTTCAACCTTTACCATCACCTAGTTGCCTTCCTTGGTCAGAAGTATATCCTTCTGCAGGCAACAAGCTGTGTGACCCGATATTTGGAAGAACAGGTGTCATTTGGATGCGTCATCACCGTTTGTAACATACGTAACTTGTTTTTAAGAAATTTGTAGTTAGTTTAAATTATTGGAAGGAAAGGTCTCTTTTTTTATCTTTTAATAGAGTCTTTAATAAGAAATGTATGAGATATTATTTGCTAATAGTAGTCTTATTTAGTTACTTCGATATTTGTTTAATATCTTAAATATTACCTGTAACTGAGGCTGTGTTGTAAAAATGTGTATTAGATATTCTTATGCTAACTTTCTCTTATTTATTAACTTAGATATTTTTTCGATAGCATTTGGAAGATCTTATGGAAATATCTTACAACTATGTGTCAGCTCTTTCCAGGATAATTTATCAAACTTATAAGTCCACATGTATAAGAAATTGTTGAATAAGTGCTTAAAAAAAAAAAAAAAGAAAGCTACTTACTTAATATAAAACTATTATCTGCTCATAACTCCCGTAGTCTATGGGAGTGTGTGGAAGTGTGAGGTGAGTTTACATTGTTAGACTATATTGTAGGGTCAAAGGAGATTTCTTGTCTTCCTCGTATTTTACAATACTTTCAATGATAATAACGAGATGGAAAACAATGAAATGGAAAATGATTCAAGTAAAGAAATTGCTTTCTTACTTGATTGTAAAAACAATATGTTGATTATTGATTTTCTGATTTGTGGATTGGACCAAGATCAAAAGGCTAATTTGAAAGCTTTCTAATGCAGAAATTCCTGGTATTGTCTTATGATGTTCTCCACCTTTCTCTCTTCTTTTGGCTTACTGCTAATTTCAACTTATCGTCAATACGAAGTTCAATTCTTCAACTTATTGTCGATATGAAGTTCAATTCTTTAAGCTATTTGATCTTTTCATTTCATTTCTCTTTCTTTTTCTTTCCAGATACCTTTTTGCTTTCTTATTTTGATATTCGAGGATGTATAACACACAAATGTCCCAAGTGTGTTTATTCTGATCCATTGGCATATTATTAAACTGCAGGTTTAGTAGCATGTTGCTTGAACATATGAGTAAGAGTTGAATCTGACCCCTAACCAGACAAATAATCAATATATATTGATAGTTGATTGTAAAGAGATTAAATGGCGTCTTATTATTCCTTTTTCACATTTGAAGTGATACAGAATTGGTGAATAAATACACAGCAGGTAACAAATTATAGTAACAGAGTGCTATAGGATAGCCAACAGTGTGCTATAAGATAGTGAGCTATAACAGTTGCAAACAGCAACCGAATGCAGCGAAAATAAAGCGGAATATAAAACTGATAGCAACACTATGGCTGGGTCAGTACGCCTATAGATCGTCATTTACAGATTGAATCGAGATCAAAGGATTACTTTTAAAGCTTTTTACTCCAAAGAAGCTGGTATTGATGCATGATATTCTCCTCCTTTCTTCTGGTGCATTGCTAATTTGATGATAATTTCATTTCATTTCTCTTTTTGTTTTTCCTTCCAGTTACCTTTCAGCTTTCTGATTTTGATATTAAAGCGTCTAGACACCAAAACAGATCCAGCATACCCCTGTTCCAAATCTGATCTTTTGGCATAGTCTTATTCTGAGCTTCGCAAATAAAACATGCTCAATTTCTCGGTCTCGTATCTTGTGTCAAAATGGAAGGGTACAGCAGCAAAGTCATTGACTCCTGAGATTAAGTATGATGTTTTTGTTAATTTTAGAGGCAAGGACATCCGCTATGGTTTTCTTAGCCATTTGATTGAGGCTTTTCCTCGAAAGGAAATATTTTGCTTTGTAGATAATAAGCTTGAGAGGGGAGATGAAATACCACCATCACTTCTTGGAGCAATTGAAGGATCATCCATTTCATTGATCATTTTCTCAAAAGATTATGCTTCTTCACATTGGTGCTTGGAAGAACTTGAAAAAATAGTTGAGTGCAGAGAGAAATATGGACAGACTGTAATACCTGTTTTCTACCATGTAGATCCCACAGTTGTATGACATCAAAGCGGAACTTACAAAAATGCACTAGTTAAACATGAAAAAACTTATAAATCAAGTAGAGTGGAAATTTGGAGATGTGCTTTGAACAAATCTGCAAATTTATCAGGAATTAAGTCATCAGATTTTCAGTAAGTTTTTTATTCCAATAAATGTTTAATATTTTATCACTTTATTTGTTCTATAGCTTTAGGAATACTTTATAAATCTGGTTCCATAGAAAAATAGGCATTTCATTAGGAAGTGTGCTTAGTGATTCCTACTTCATAAATACTAGTTAATCCTGCAACTAGTTCATGCTAGATTTAGATTGAGCAAGTATTGGCCCTTATTAGACCTAAGTATTATAATCAAATATATTCCAACTTCAAAATGAAACATATATAAAAATGACACATTTTTTAAAGACTTCTAGATACATTCAACAAGGTCCATTTTTTTGGGTACAAACTATACCATATTAGAGGATTCTCACAAAGGAAAAATGAAAAGAGAATGGGTATTCAATCATGGGTGTTCAATCCCCCGCAACAAGAAGTAAGCTATTAGTTATGCCATAGAACTTTGTACATTATTGCACTCTCTCGCTCTCTCTCACCCACTATCTTTTTCTGTTTGTGTAGGGATGATGCCGAGTTGCTTGAAGAAATTGTTAAAACTATAGATCTTGAGATGAAAAGGTGGGGCAAGCACCCAGTTCACTCAAAAGGACTGATTGGAATTGACAAATCAGTTGCACATTTGGTGTCATTGCTACATAAAGAGTCAAAACACGTCCGTGTTGTTGGAATTTGGGGTATGGGTGGTATTGGTAAAACAACCATTGCAGAAGAAGTATTTAACAAAGTAAGTTCTGAATATGATGGTTGTTTCTTTCTGGCAAATGTAAGGGAAGAATCAGGAAGAAATGGAATTGTGTCCTTAAAAGAACAAGAGATAAACAAGTGCTAATCGCCAACAAAGTTGATGACATATACAAGGTTGAGGAATTAAGCTGTAATGATGCTCTTAAGCTTTTTCATTGGAATTCATTTAACCAAAGTCATCTTGAAAATGAGTATTATGAGCTATCAAAGAAAGTGGTTAATTATGCCAAAGGCATTCCACTAGTCCTCAAAGTTTTGGGCCATCTTCTTTGTGGAAAGGATAAGGAAGTATGGGAAAGTCAGCTAGACAAACTTGGAAAAATGCCAATTAAAAAGATCCATGATATAATGAGACTGAGTTATGATGATCTAGATCGAGAAGAGAAAAACAATTTTTTAGATCTTGCTTGTTTCTTCAGTGGATTAGATTTCAAAGTTGACTACTTAAAAGGTTTATTGAAATATAGTGAAAGTGATAACTCAGCAGCTGTTGTGTTAGAAAGGTTGAAAGATAAAGCTCTCATAACAATTTCTAACAATAATGTTGTGTCTATGCATGATATTATACAAGAAATGGCTTGGGAAATTATTCAGCAAGAATCTAGTGAAGCCGGAAGTCGTAGCCGACTGGTGGATCCTAATGATGTTTATCAAGTGTTGAAAAATGACAAGGTATGAGCTCTAACTTGATATAACATCAACTTTTAGAGAACTTTTGAATGATATTTAAATTTACCTTCTAAAAAATTTATGGCAGGGAACTGAGGCCATTAGAAGCATGAGGATGCACTTGTCAATTGTCACTGAGATAAAGTTAAGCCCCCACATATTTGCTAAGATGAACAAATTGCATTATCTTGATATTCATGGTGAACATTATCCAAACCGCGTGAAATGTCTTCCGCAAGGCCTTAAATATTTGCCAAACGAACTAAGATATCTTCGCTGGATGAATTACCCTCAAAAGTTGTTGCCAGAGAATTTTTCTGCTGAAAAACTTGTTCTATTGGACTTGACACGTAGTAGATTGGAAAAACTTTGGCATGGAGTGCAGGTAAATATGCTTGTTTTCCTACAGTATGTTTTAAATTGATTCAAGGAACTAAAGATTAAAACTTAAGCTCGTGTATGATGTCTTCATGCATACTATTTTGCTTCAGAATTTGGTGAATTTAAAAGAAGTTATACTCTATTTCTCGTCATACCTGATGGAGCTACCAGATTTTTCTAAGGCCAGAAATCTTGAAGTAATGAATATCAGCTCTTGTGATAAGTTGGCTTGTGTGCATCCATCTATTTTCTCTCTTGAAAAGCTCAAGAAATTAGATCTAAGTAAGTGCTATTCCATTACTAGAATAACCAGTAACACTGATTTAAGCTCCCTCTGTTATCTCAAACTTTGTCATTGCAAGAAACTAAGGGAGTTCTCACTGACATCAAAGAATATGGAAAAACTTGATTTACGATCCGCACCCATCAAAGCATTGCCAGCATCTTTCGAACATCAAACCAACCTTAAAACACTACGTTTATCACGAAGTAACATTGAGAGTTTGCCTTCATGTTTTGAGAATCTTACAAGACTGCAACATCTCGATGTAGATGGTTGTACTGAGCTTCAGACACTACCAAAGCTTCCCTCGTCCCTTAAAACTCTTGTTGCTATAGATTGCACATCACTGAAGACAATATTGTTCCCTTCAACTGCTGCTGAACAATTCAAGGAAAATAGGAAACATGTTGATTTCTGGAATTGCTTGAAATTGGATAAAGACTCTCTTGCTGCTATTGATTTGAACACGCATATCAACGTGATAAAATTTGCATTCAAACGTTTATCTGCCCTAGAAAATGATCTCACTGAAAATTATGATGATTACAGTGATAGATTTCATTCTTATCAAGCCAGGTATGTGTACCCGGGAAGCAATGTTCCAGAGTGGTTGGTGTATAAAGCAACAGAGGATTATATAATTATTGATCTCTCTTTTCCTCCACCTTCTCCTCTATTAGGCTTCATTTTCTGCTTCATCATTGCCAAGGATGAAACACCATTTTATGGTCGTAGATTACAATTTAACATGGCTATCATCAATGGTGACAGTGAAGATAAAAAGGACAGTGTTGAAATATACACTTCTATGTCATCTGACAGCACTGCATCAAATCAATTGTGTGTGATATATGACCAACGATGTTCTCACTACCTTAATAGAAGAGCAAAAAATATGTCAAAGTTCAAAATCAAGGCTGCAGCATGGTTTAAATATGACTGTCCTGTTAGGAATGAAGTCCCACATCGGTGGGAAATTCAAGTGGGGCCCCTCCTTTACTTATATAAAGGGTAAGGGTCCATCAAATTAAAATCATCCCAAAATTTCTTCTCTCCCTCTCTCGTATCACACTAATCATATATATTTAGTAGTGGTGGTTCTTTATTTTGAGGGATAAATTTTAATAGAGAAGAATAGTATAATTTTTATTCTGTGATAATTTTCTGTTGCTTTTATTATCTCTCTTTCATCTCTTATTTTTTCTCATCTCTTATTTTAGTTGTGTGTTATTATACCGTTACTCTGGTCCCAACAGTGGTATAAGAGCTATTGGTTTAATTTATTCTGCTGCTATTGTCATTAGAATAGTGTTGGTAAAATTCTGAGATGCTCTGTGATTGCGGTTTAATCCGATCTTTCACATCAAAAAAGAGTTGTTACTGGAAAAGTTTGGTAGTGTGAAACTGCTATCTGAGAAAGTTCTGGCTAGGAAAGATTTGGTATTTAAGAGTGTCTATAGTGACCCACCTCTCTTTCCTAGAAATTTTTTTGGTGTGTTAGTTCATGGTCTACCTGTGTTATTCCAGTAGACAATACTATTCATAGTGAGAAGTGCATAAGTCGGTATAATAAAGAGAGAAAATATGGTAGCAAAATATGAGATAGAGAAATTTAATGAGAGTAATTTATCCCTGTGGAAATTGAAGATAAGAGCAATTTTGAGAAAAGACAATTGTCTTGATGCAATTGAAGGCAGACCTGCAGATATTTCAGAAGAAAAATGGAGAGAAATGGATAACAATGCTGTTACCAATTTGCACTTGGCATTGGCAGATTCAGTGTTATCTAGTGTTGCAGAGAAGAAGACTGCAAAGGAGATTTGGGACACACTGATCAAATTGTACGAGATCAAGTCACTTCACACCAAAATATTTTTAAAAAGGAAACTCTACACTCTTCGAATGAGTGAGTCCACACCTGTGACGGACCACATCAACAATCTGAATACGCTGTTTGCTCAACTTACAGCTTCAGATTTCAACATTGTAGAAAATGAACGTGCAGAACTTCTACTCCAGAGCTTGCCAGATTCATATGATCAACTCATCATCAATATTACAAACAACAACATCATT